TGATTATGAACACACACATTTTCATGTATTCATTTGTGAATACTGGTTACATTCACCAGTGAACATATTAATTTTTGTTGTAGCACACGTTGGGAAATTCCACATATGAACCTGCAATATGTTCACTTTGATTAACCATTGTTCACGTTAAAGTTAACATAACAGAATCTTGAAATATAATATGATTATGATTCCTAAAAACATACAAGTAATAATTTGTAACATCTCATTGCATACCATAAAAACGACTTACACATAAAATAATACCTATTTGTCATTCGTCACTGAATTAAACAATTGAAGTAACCTCTACTAAAGAATGAATCTTATTCGTCCAGTAAGTTCACAAAGTTAACACCATACTTTTGATTAACAAAAGATCTTATACCTCTTTCTCTCTCCATAATTGCAGTATAGTACAGTTTAAACCGTTGTTTCATAACTCAAAACCACACCACATAATGCAGTTTGGTACAAACGTAAACCACAAAAGTTCTAAACCACACTCTGCAATGCAGTATGATGTGAGGAGTTTATGTGGTTTAAGGGTTTAATGAACACCCTTACGTAATCCATTTTTTAACAGAACTTTTTAAAATAACAACAAAAACAAAATATAACAGACTGGCCCAATAACTTCAAAGCCAACTTCAAACTACAGTGGATATTATTGGTAGCTCATAACTTAAAGTTTATAAGGAGCTCACAAATCCCAGTTTCTATCCATCTGGGTCTGGGACGAACTGTTACAAACTCCCCCACTTAAACTTCAGACTCTGGTTACATGGTCGTGATTCATCAACCGGACACGGTTTCTGTTTTCTTAGGAATCAAGAATACACATCTTAATCAATTTATTCAATGTTACACTATAACATTAAGTACACCCTCATTGATGGATGTTTGACCAATTGATAATAATTAACCTACCATTTACATTCTTTATTTGTTTGGGACCCCTAATCCACTTTTGTGATTACATGTATTTAATGAAAACCCTAGTTTTAAATTGCAGTTAAAATTAGGTTTGTTTCGAAACATTCGTTGATAATACTGAGCTGAAGGAAGTTGTTTAAGAGTTGAAGCAATTCGTCGATAATACTGAGCTGAAGGCCTTTTGGTTATGTTGGCCATAGTTTTACTGTAAAATAAATACTGGAAAAGTACTTAATACAGATCGTTCTTTAATGTTTTAGTATATTTACTTTCTTAATAATAATAATAAGTACTACGACTTATTTTATCCCAGGTTGTCTTCATGATATCTGTATTTGTTATAATGATATCAGAATTACGTATGTAATTATAATGGGAAAAATGTCTAAAATTAATCAGTTGTCATTATCTTGTTATAACATTTATAACAGATTCTGCAAGCTGAGATTTTATACAATTTTTTTTTACTTGAACGGATTTTTAAAATTGCCTAGAATTGATAAAGTAGGAAAGAGGATACGAAATTCTTCAAATATCTTAATAATATAATTAATGTTGTAAATTTTAAATAAATAAAGTGTTGAAATAAAATCAATTTTTAAAGATTTTAAATTTTCTATTTATTTAAAAAAAAATATGTTAAAGGTACTCTTGATGATTTAATTTCGGACATATTGCATGAAAAAGTAACGTATTTTAACTTGATTCCTATTCTGGGTAATGTACTTTCAAAATCTCTATTTTGGTACCTAAGATGTAAAGTTTTAAATTTTAAGTACCCGGGTAACTAGTTGAAGACTACTTTTAGACTAAAAAAATTCATGTAACTAACCACGTCAGTAAATAATACTAAGTTGAATATCACATCACTCGCCACACATCAGCATGATAACCGGTTAATGCTTTAACCAGTTATTCGGTTACTTAAATGTTTAAAACTTTACATCTTAAATACCAAAATAAAAGTTTTGAGAGTACGTTACCCAAAATATAAATCAAGTTATAATAATTTACTTTTTCATGTAATTTACCCTTTAATTTCAGATAAATTATTATAATAACAATGATTAATATAAAAAATAATGGAGGATTGTAAAACAAGAATAAGTCACGTGCGTGTAAGAAGGTGATGGACCTTTCTCAGACCAAACCCCATTCTTTTCAGCTCATCACTGTGCCTGTAAATACACGGCTTACCCCACACCTACATCCCCACGGTTCAAACCGTAAAATTTATAACAGCCTTTTTGACAGTTGGCTTATTATTATTATTTTTTAATGTACTTGACCTCTTAATCATTAAGCTCAGTAATCTCGGATACAATAATATTTGACCTAACACAATATGACGTTGGAGATGCAACAATTGTAGAACATCTCAAACATTTATGTTATTTGAGAAAATTTTGTTTCAACCAGGGACGGATCCATGAATTTTTTTCAAACGGTGGCACCATTTGACCATAAGAAAAAAAAATTGGGAAAATTTTCAAACGGTGACACCGTTTGACTATAGGAAACGAATATACGGAATTTTTTTTTTCAAACGGTGACACCATTTTGCTAAGAAAATAACACTAACATGATTCGAACTTGGGTGTAGAGTGAAATAAAAGCCTTGCAAACCAACTCTACCAAATAAAATTTGTTCTCATTGTAGTTTTTAAAATACATACGGTGGCACACAACAAATTAATACGGTTGCACCGTTCACGAAACCTAATTTTTTTTACCATTCGGTGGAGAAATAATACGGTGGCACGTACCACCTATACCACAAGCCTAGGTTCATTCATGGTTTCAATAGCTATGTTAAAATGTCATCTAAAATAGAAAGAAAAAAGAAGAGGATGGAGAAATCCTTAAATTTTTGTGTGTGTATATATATATATATATATATATATATATAACTATAACATATGTATATACACATATCTATATATATCTGTATAGGGGTGAGTTCAAATAAAAACCACTCAATTTGTAAAAACCGTGAAAACCTCATTCAACCAATCATAATTTTTCATTTTGTTCATTTTTTTGTAATTATGAGAGGTTGATTAACCATTTTTATTGTGGAGGGCGTTAATAATGGATATTATCATCTTCATTATTTTAATTTTAGAGAAATACATGAAACAGTTTCATTAAAATTTCATTAAGTAGTATATGAAACAGTTTCATTAAAATTTCATTAAGTAGTATATGAAACAATTTCATAACCACATATGAAACAACTTCATCAAAAAAAGTATTATATGAAACAATTTCACAAGATTAACAATTTCATGAAAAAATTTCATAAGATTAACGATGGATGAGAGTAGTTTTTACGGTTTTCACAAATTGGAGTGGTTTTCATTTGATCGCTCACCTGTGTGTATATATATATATATATATATATATATATATATATATATATAACATACATGTTAGAGATGCTTTTAATACCATAATTAGGGACCCAGGTCGTCGATTTATTTAAGGGTCAAACTCATTAGAAAGTTGCAACCGTAGGAACCCAACTCATAAAAGAAATGCAACCACAATAACGTAACTCGTTAAAAAAACGCAACCAAAAGGACGTGTTCTGTTGCGTTTTCAAAAAAGCGACAAGGACCTCACAAAACATGTAGTTTACTGAGAAAATTTTGTTATAAACTTCATAGGATTCTCACGAAATTTTGATTTCTCCTGCGATTTGTAACAATCACTGTATAAAAGAGGAATTATAGTTATCATGAATTTTTAAGAGGTACAACTAATTAAGCATAATGTATAAGCTCTTAAAGTTATACAACGTCCCACGATCTTCCACATATTAAAAACCAAATTATTTTTCATTTTTAAATAACACTTTGTACGCTTATAATTAATTATTTAATTTACTTCATAATCTTACTTTTTCATTTTTCATAAACATAAATAATGGTATATGAAATAAAATGCATTAAAAATACATTTTTTTTACAAAATAAATCATTATAATCGTTTCGTCAATACCTTCAAAATGAGTTTAATATTAAATATTTTCAGATCTAATTATACTATTTAATGTCGTTTCGCTTTCTCGACATCATATTCGGAATGATTTGCGCGATGTTGCGCATGAGTACGTGACTAGTATAGATATAAAAGGGAGATCGAAGGCAAGAGCCACTGACAGTGATGAGCGGTGATAAAGAGCAGACCACAATAAGGTGACGAGGGTTTGGAATAACGTAGAGTTTGAGAATGGTAAAATTGATTTATGCTTTTTTTTAAACCGTCCTAACTGGTTTCAAGTAATTTATTTTGATACGTAAGATTTTAGTACATCAAAACGTATCGAATACAACAATTTACTGGATAAGCGTTTAACTGGGTAAGAGTCGTCATCTTCACCTACCGTGGGTAAGACTCTCCAACAATTTGGGTGAGTCTACTTTATTATTTTTATTCTTATAATAATCGAAATTCATAATTCCAATTATGATCCTATGTTTTTACAGATTTTTTTATTCATTAACGTTAAAATTAAATTATTTTAAATATCGTAATTATTATTACATTTTTTAAATTAATTATTATATACTAAATCATAACAATGGGAAGAATTTTCAACAAAGCAAAGGGGGTATCGGAGAACCGGTCGTCTTAAAAAGCAAATGGAAGTCCTTTTGCGGGGAGACCTTTGTCGCCGATGAGCGTTTGTTGCACGCGCCGCCGTGGCCATTAAAATCAACAGGAGAGTGCTTAGGGTCGTTTTCATGGTATTATTATTGTTGTTAATGATGATGAAGATCAATTAAAGTTTAAAAATAGTCTTCCCATCTAAGCTAAGTTTGTTGAAGTTGGCAGCACGGCAGGTTTACAGATCGAGTGGGTAAGCGGCCAAATCTATCCCTCTCTCTATCTATAAACCCTTCCTTTTCAATCATTCAAACCCTAGAAGGAAGAATTTCGGTTGAAATTAAAGCAGGGAATTGTTAATTATAAAAGCATAAAAAGGTGAAAGGTGGTGGGGGGACAATAAAGTTGTCAAAATCCATCTTCATATTCATATTCATATTCAATCTTCTTAGAAGGAACGAATCCAATTCAAAGTATCCGTATTCTTCCATCATACAAATCTCTCTCCTTCTCTCTCTCTCTCCTGCTGTGTGTGTGTGTGTGTGTGTGTGTGTGAAAAAGCTACTGGTGGTATGAAGGAAAGATTCATGCCATGACAGAGAAAGTTTAATCCATGGAGAGGGAGAGAGAAGATATCGTGTTTTGTGTTGAATTGGTCGAACCTTGGAGCAGCTTTTTGAAAAGGGGTTTTGGAAATCTGGGGGGACTTTATCCATAGTTAAGGTAAGAATTTTGTTCATGAATATGCATGATTTCGAGTTACGATTATCTGTTTTATTTTGTGACATTGCATGCTTGTTTTCATGTTGTAAATTTAGTGAATATAAACCATAATTTCTCTCTTATTTTTTATGATTTCTAGTGTCCTCTGCTTTATGTCGAATGATTCAAGTTCAGTAACGAAATTTACCTCTCTAACTGGGTGTATCAACCCTAGAATTCTGCAATATTTGAATCATGCTTCTAGAACATGTGATGCACATAAGGTGTTTGTAGAAATTCGAACATATGATTTGCAATTACCAGATGCTGTTTTTTCATTGTTTTCTCTCATGGTTGTTGATTGGGTTAAATCATTTGAGGCCTCAAAAGTTTCTTTCTATGAGTGGATAGTCCTCTGTTTTTCGTTGTTATGCTGCAAATGATCATGATGGAGCTCTCTTGTGCTTGATTTCGATGCAGAATTTGGATTATGGCCTAAAAAAGCCACCCCACTTGTTGGTTTCCCCAGAAATCTGGGTTTTTTTTCGTTTTCTTGACCATCTTTATTTGGTCATCTGTCTTTCCTGTTTTGTTTTTGTGTTCACCTCCTGCGATATATGCAGGTTATAACAGTAATGCTGGGAACATATGGGGAGAAAAGGAAGTTGGTTTTCTGCAATCAAGAAGGTTTTTACATCCAACTCGAAAGACAAGCTACCGAATGTAAGTAGGCTGATTCTTGAAATTATGGTTTTCAATCGAAATTTAGTGTTTCTGTCTTTCTCTCTTTCTGGTTTTATTGCTATTGCTTACTCATATATAGTTTTCAAATTTTAGTATTTTTGTATTTCTACCTTTCACACACTTTCTACTAGCTAGGGGTCATCATGGAGACAACTGTTCTACTCTTCATGGTAGATGTCAGGTCTGTGTCCATCTTACCCCGACCCCATGTCTGGTGAAATATTTTGGGCTCGTTTGATTTGCTTGTGGGACTGGGGATTTCGTGAATAGATTTGGTTAATAGAGGCATAATCAAACGAGAACAAGATCAAAATAAGAGAACACGGGAACAGATGAATCACATGTGATTTTGCACTGAAATCACATGTGAATAAGAACATGGTCAACACATGGGTGCACGGGGTCATGGACAAGGTCGTCCGTAATCACATGATTTTACAGGTGAGTTTAAACTCACATGTGATTTGGCCGTTCGCATGTTCTCTTATTTGGTCACTGTTCTCGTTGGATCCTGACTCTTGGTTAATATGTCATAGGTATATAAAGAAGTGTCGGTTCTTTATTCATTTTAACGATTTCTCTTCGTATTTTAAGCCACAATTGTTGCCTCTGGTGATGTCCAATTTGGTTGCAGGAAGTAGAGAAGAAAAGTCCCCACGAAAAGAAGGGGCGGGGGAAACTAAAACATGGAGAGAGTAGATCGTTCATTCCTCTCTTCCGAGAGCCAAGCAGCATTGAGAAAATCTTGGGGGAAGTTGACCAACAGTTATTGTTTATTGGACATCCTACAGCTGTTGAGCAACCACCACCACCACCGTTCTCCGGAAGGCCTGCCTCTCCGATGGTCACTTCTCATCAAGCGGCTTCCCCAAGAGTTTCTTCTCCTAGGGAACCTTCCCCAAGGAGTTCTCCTCCTAGAGTTGTTCATCAACGCACGGAAATCAGCTATAGACCGGAGCCAACTCTACGACACCACCACCTTTCAGCTACCATAATCCAGGCCGCCTATAGAGGGTATATGGTAAGCTTCTGTTGTTTGGAATACCACATCTGCTAGACACAGGCCATTAAACATTTACATATTAGGATTCGTTTGCATGGTTTATTAGATTTACATGGTTTCTAAAATAACCTTGGCCTATATATATATACAGAGAGAGAGAGAGGAGTTTCAAATAAAAACCCTTTAAATAGTACAAACCATACAAACCAATCTCAACCGTCCATCTAGTTTAATGAATATTTGGTTTTATAAATATCTCGATTGTTTTCTGATCTAAAGCGTTAATCTTAATGAATAACTCTGATCATCTTCCATAATATCCGAATCATAAAAAATAAACTCCAATCATTTCCATAAAAATCTCAGTTGATTGGTTTGTATGGTTTGTACTAATTAAAAGGTTTGTATTTAGAACTTCCTCCCTCTGTCCCTCTCTCTCTCTCTCTCTCTCTATATATATATATATATATATATATATAGACTTGGGATCATGTGAGACCAGCCTGTTTTCGTGAGACCCGTGAGACCAGCATTTTACACTTGAAACTTCACAGCAAAATGCTGTGAAGGTAACTTTTTAAAACCTTCACAGTGTTTTTGCTGTGAAGGTTCGACTTTTTTTAAACCTTCACAGCGTTTTTGCTGTGAAGTTTACGTGTAAAAATGTGGTCTCACGGGTCTCACGAAAACAGGCTGGTCTCACGTGAACCCAACCCTATATATATATATATATATATTGCAATCTCCGTTATAGGGTGCACTTGGTACGCAGATGAACGGGCCATGACTAGTTGGGCAAGAGTGAGGTAGATGGATAAAAGAGTTGTGCAAAGTTTTAGGGTTTTAATTGACGTGGGTAGTTTTGTAATTTAGCAATCTTGTCCATCTTCTTTATTTTTGTTCGACCTATTTGGGTGGGAATCCGATCCTGTTCAGTCTTAATGTCGTACCAACTACCAAATGTGGGATAACAAGTTTTTGTCATGTTTATTCCCTCCTATCATGTCCCGTCACCCGTGTACCAAATGCAAAAGACTTTTTTAGAGAGATTCAAAAGGTTCCACGCATCCTAATATGGTATAAGAGTCAGGATCTACCACATCCATGGACTCGGCACACTCTTTCACCTCCGTTTTTGGGGAACCGTCTAACCTTCGTTTGAGTGGGTGTGTTGAAGCCCCATGTCGGCTAGACACATATCATCGAACCTATATATATAGGAACCTTCCCTTTTTATAAGTGCTCTTTTGGAGAATATTCAAAGGGGTTCTATGTATCGTCACAATTTGTGTATATCATAAAGGCAAGGAGGAGCTTCAGAGCTTTGAGAGGTCTTGTGAGGCTGCAAGGAGTGGTAAGAGGACAAAACGTGAAGCGACAAACCGTCAACGCCATGAAACAGATGCAACTGTTGGTGAGGGTCCAAACTCAAATTCAGTCGAGAAGAATCCAAATGTTAGAAAACCAAGCACTTGAACGCCAAACGTACAAAAACGACAAAGAAGTCGAGACTTCAATCGGCAAATGGACCTTCAGTAATCTAGTAAGATTTCTGCTTTCAGTTCATACCATACATCTGTAGGTTCAAGTCATCGCTGGTCTTAAAGGAGCAACTGTAATTAAACCAAACGAACCCGGTATATCCAACCCTACCCTGGGGGTGGGTTTGTAGGGTAAGATATACACAGAATTGACCTCTACCTTAAAGAGTAGAGCGACTGGTTCCAACAGATCCGCTAAAAATAAGAAGTTAGACATGAGTAAGCAATAACAATACAAATAGCAATAGAAATAGAGAAAAATAAATATGCTAAATTTTGTTCGGCTAGATATGAGTAAGCAACAAAAATAGATAGATGCAGCACACTACCGGATCTCCAAAAAAGGAGAACCAGTAGTGTGTACTACTTTTTAAAGAACCATGGTGGTTCTTTTTAAAAAACCAATGGTACACACACTACTATTTCTTCTTTCTAAAAAAACCAGTAGTGTTGCTCCTTCTTTTTAAAGAACCAGTAGTGTGTGCACTACGGGTTCTTCTTTTTTAAAGAACCAGTAGTGGTTCTTACTGGTCTTCTTTTTAAAGAACCAGTAGTGTGTGTACTACGGGTTCTTTTTAAAGAACCAGTAGGGGTTCTTCTTTTTAAAGAACCAGTAGTGTGTGCTACGGGGTTCTTCTACCAGTAGTGTAATTTGAATTTATTAATCTGGGCTTACGGGTTGTAGCTGGAGGTTGGCGATGAACATTGGGACGATAGCTTGATAACGAAAGAAGAAAGAGAAGCAAGGCTGCAGAGAAAAATGGAGGCAGTGATCAAGAGAGAAAGAGCCATGGCATATGCATACTCCCATCAGGTACTCTTAAAGCATTCTCTCGTGTGTGTTCCAATTCTTGAAAAAGGCCAAAATATATCAAAATACAACAAAGTTTTGTAGCAAAGAATTATTTTCTCGATCAACGTAACAAAATTTTGTATTTTATATCAATTTTAACCGGTAACCCGCTGATCTTGTAACATGATTGGATACGTGTTCACAAAACGGTTATGGCGAAGTGGATGATAAACTTGATAGACATCATCTATTGTTACAAGATTAGCAGGTTACCGGTTAGGATGAGAACAAAATATGAAAATTTGAAATTCTATTATGTTGACTGTGAAAAAAAATTATTTGTTACACTAAATAGGAACTAAGGAAAATGTCGTTGCATTTTGATGTATTTTGCCCTCTTGAAAACGAAGGGTTATAACGTAGTTTTGATGATTAGTTATGGAAAGCGACACCACAATCAGCTCAAAACGCTCTGACGGACATCCGGTCTGGCGGATTTCCGTGGTGGTGGAACTGGTTAGAACGCCAACTGCCTTCCGATGAACCCATTAGGAACCCCGAATTCACACCCACGCCACCACGGCCAAATCTCGATCAAAAAACAAGCCCGCGTCCTCAGTCCAGCATCTTCAAGCAGAACAACTTTTCGTTCGACAATCTCGACACACCCACGCCGAGATCATCAAGATCGATGATCCCACCAAGGACCCGACAACAAATGACCCCAACAAGAACTCCACCATCAACCACCCCAAACCTAATGAAGTATTCCAAAGCAAAAGGCAGTGCCGCTGGTTCTCCGTACCCGATGAAAGACGACGATAGCTTGATGAGCTGCCCACCATTTTCGGTTCCAAACTACATGAGCCCTACTGTTTCAGCGAAAGCCAAAGCCCGACTAACTGGTAATCCTAAAGACCGCCTCACGAGCACTGCAGCTAGCGAGTCGTCATCAAAACGGCGGTTTTCGTTCCCGCTAACGCAAAGCATCGGTTCGTCGTTCAAGTGGAACAAACGGTCTTCAAGCAAAGATTCTATGGCATCTCTGGCTCCAAGGGCGTTGGAAAAACACAAATCTCCACGGTCGATCGGAGATTTGAGCATGGATTCCTCCATTTCGATGCCGGCGGCGGTCGGAAGGAGACCATTTAACAGATATGTGTGAACTTTTATTCGTTTTTGATTTAAATCTTGGTGGGTTTTGATTTCTTTGCTTTGATTTTGGGTCTTTTTTTTTGTATTTTTGGGTAAAAGGAGTGTTTGATTGGTTCTCTACATATCGATTGATGACAGAATACTGAATTACTGATGTATGTATGATAATAAACAAGCCATTGTTGTTTGGGTGTAACAAATTTGTTCCTTCTCTGTCGGGTTTTGGTTTCCGAACGACTGAAACCTCGAGTGTCGTTTGGTTCGTGGGATTCCGACATAATCTGATTGAATTGGAATGGTGGATTCCATTGATCAAATTTTATTCCGATATTTGAGTTAGTTAATGGAATGGAATTGGATTCCATTCATTCCATCAACTATCATCATTATTCCATCGAAGCGGAGAATGGAATTGAATTCTATTCCAACCAATTTTCATGTGAAAAGAGTACCCCCATTAAACCAATTTCCTTAGAATATTATACTTATAGTTTTAAGGGCAAAAATACAAATTCAAAGAAGGCATTTTCGTCATTTTTTATCATTTCATTCTAATTACTCTGTAAACAGAACATGTATATTTTAAATTTATTTAATATATTATATTTTATTTTCTGTCAACCGAACACTTGATCAAACTTGATAACATTTCATTCAAATTTTTTCCGTATTCCAAAAACATTCTTCCAAGCAAATGCCTCCTGAGGGGTTTGCTCGCTAGCACTAAGATCTGGACCCTTTGGGGCTTCTTTTTTATAGATTACTAATTCGATAGGTCAGCGGAGATTTTTCTAGTTATTCTACAAAATCCCATGAAATTAGTCGAAGAAGCCACTAAGGATTTTCTTGATCACTTTTTGAGACCCTGTGAGATTAGTTGAGATGTGCACAAGCTAGTCCGAACATCCATGGTTAGCAAGAAAATACCAGACCAAACTAGGGACAAGCCTATTTAAGAGCATCTCTAACAACTATGTTAAAGTAAATTTTTGAAGATTTTGAATATATTTTTACTCCAACTGATATGTTATAATGTATGCTAAAAAATAGAAATAGATGGTAGAAATCTCTGAACTTCATATTCTAGAGAGAGATTGAAAACATTAAAAGTAAGACCTATTAATTAAAATGTCCATTTTCGACTTATGGTTTCACCTCTTAGTAATTTCTTTTCTAAAATCACCACAATATCACTCCCTCTGCAATTAACAGGTCCTCAATTTATGAACTAATCAAAATATCTATACTATCTTATAAAACATTTGGCTAAAACTCTTA